TACATCAACAACGTAAGTCTACCTCCTACTATTCCAGTAGACGATAACTAATTGGCCTCCTAGTTGGGCACAATCATTCAGACACTCACGCCGGAATTACATCCTCCCAATGCTCCGCCTCCAGCAGGCCTGCCCTCTACACATGTGACAACGATAGCGCTCACGTCAACTATAGCCCGACTGCTGACCGGATCTCTCTCGGACTTCTTCGCGCCCCCGGCCACTCATCTGTTCCCGGCAAACATAGAAGCTGGCCGTCGCTCCTCGTCATCAGGTTCGACCGCAAAGAGGCCCACCCTGTCGCGACTCGCCTTCCTTCTGCCCTCAGCCCTCCTCCTCTCCCTCGGCTATCTCCTCCTCTCATCCCCCTTACCCCTCCAGCATCCAGGTCTCTCGCACGTAACAACCGCGCTGATAGGCCTAGGCTACGGCAGCGCCTTCTCTCTCGTCCCCATCATCATCTCTGTCGTGTGGGGAGTCGAGAACTTTGGCACGAACTGGGGTATCGTGGCCATGGTCCCTGCTGCCGGTGCCGCGATGTGGGGAGTCGTCTATTCGCGAGGATACCAGGACGCGACGGACGGCGGGAATGGCTCACCGGACGGGCAGTGCCATGGCTGGCGGTGCTATGGGTTCTGGGCCGTCGGATGCACCCTCAGTGTGTGGGTGGCTGTAGTTGCGTGGATACTTGCCTGGAGGGGTTGGCGACGAAGAGGTGTTGTTGTTTGATACATTCTACCATCTTTGGCGTTTGAAATATTCTGGATTTGTCTCGGTATAGAAATATAGCATCTTCGTGGGTTCCCTTTTGGCTAAATCTTTCATCCTTCGCAGCAAGATAAGTGAGAGACACATGCAACATATGGCTGCATCTTTTGAATTCTGATCATGATGTATTTGCACATTCCAGCAAACCGACGGGACCTAATCCATACCAAGAATAACAATGCCAATATTCTCACAAGAAGAAATGACGACCAGAAAGAATAGAAGGGTATTCATATACAACACGGAAACAAGACCCAAAGTCCAATAAGCAGATACAGGGCAAGCCAAATCAGATATCCGTAGACGAGGGATCAAGTCCCATAAACACCTTATACAGCCGTTTACTCGCAGCCGGGCCGATGCGCGAGTCCGTCAGGGCACCGTTCTTATTTGCAGATTTCTTCAAATCAAGTTAGCAAAACTTTGAAATCTGAATTGGGGTACATAGGGGCTGAGCGCATAGCATACCTTGACATCCTCCAGCATGGTCGGCCCATGCCGGCGCATTCCTCTCACCAGGTCCACGACGGAAGGATACCTCGCCGCGATACCATAGGCCATAGACGCCGTGACGCGATTTACCTCCTGGAGCATTTTGACAAAGGTATCGGCCTTGTCCTCGCCCGGTTTGACCTGTCCCGTATCCATGCAAAAGGCCGAGTCGTTGCCGTCCATGCGCTCGCGCTTGTACGGTATGGTTGAGATATGCTCGGTGAAGTTCTTGATCCATTCTGCCGACTCCGCCGCGGCGCTGGTGTGGTGGATGAGGCAGGCGTGTGTGACCTGCAGCTCGAGGAGGGCGTCTTCGATGGTATCGTCGTCGACGGGCGGGGTGGACTCGGCGGTTTTGGCAGGGGGGTTTCTGCGGCGGGTCGAGGAGGAAGGATCGTCTGGGACGAGTTGGCGGCGGACCTGGGCTTGGAAGGCTCTGTTGCGGGAGTTTTGGTTTTTGCGCATCCACGCGGTTAGGCCTTCGATGAGGTAGATTAATTTGTGGCGAGGGTAGGCGTTTTTAATGCGGGAGAGGTGGAGTTCCAGCTCGGTTGTGCCTGTTACCGGGTCTGCGGGCGCGATGGCCATGTTGACGAACTCTTGTGCTGTCACGAGACAGAGGACGTGGTCTTCGTCGCGGATATGGTGCGGACATGGCTCCCAATGGCCGGCGGCTTCGTTGTACCGGGCTGTGACCTTCCGGCGCCATTTGACGATGTTCGGGATAGAGCTCGTGAAGAACGTATGCTCGACTCCTAGCCGTTTCATGAGTTCAATGCTCTGATTGCCAACACTCGTTTCCCTAAACGAGGAAGCGAGATCGAGGATCATCTCAGGCGTCGACTCCTTCTTGTCCACCTTGAGCTTATTGACCTCCGCCAAGTCCGCAGCGAGCTGCTTTTCTCGCGCCTTTTCCTCCCTGAGCTTCTTCTGTCTTTCTTTCTCGAGCTGTTTCTCATGCTCCCGCTGCGCCTTGGCGGCTTCTCGCTCTTTGGCCCGCGCTTCTTTCTCCGCGGCGGTCAGCTTCGTTGTCTTTCGTGCTGGCTTGCGAGATGCAGCCACTACCTCGGACAGATCATCGTCAAGGTCAAGGACATCTCGTTCCTGGGACTTTTTGGAGGGACCTGCGGCTCTTAATTTCGTCCTACTCCCGGTACTACTGGTAGCTTGAGAGCGCTCCTTCAGACCTGCAAGCAGACTGGCCGTTCGACTCGAAAAGAGCGAGTTTTCATGACCAGATTCCGTTGCCGCTCTAGCGTGCCTCATTAACTCGTCAATATCCGGCATTGCAAGCTGGTCACTGAAGTCTTCGATGTGGTCCTTCCCGGTGGCGGCATCGTTGCAAATATCGACATGCGCATCACCGTCATCGTCATCGTCATCGTCATCGTCATCGTCATCGTCAATCGTAATCGTGTTAGTTTCTCTGAAATTCGTTTGATGAGTCGTAAGTGACCTCGCTCCTGGAACAGGCGCTGGCGAAGTGAAAACAATAGGATCCGACTCCTCGTTCCGCGCCGGGATCCTCAGCGTTGACGGTCCGTCAGACGGCAAGGCGACGTCATCATCGGAAAACAGAAACAGATTTGTCGTCGAGAATTGAGCGTCTACATCCCTAGGGGATTCAACTTCCTCACTTATGCGACGTCTCTTGGCCGGTTTATCGATATCATCGTAGGCGAAAAGGGATTCGACATCGTCCGATAACAGAGGCTGAGGAGCAGATGAGAGGGGCGGATCGGATGGAAGCGTGGCCACTAATCGCTGACGGGGTTGAGATGCCGGGGGCGGCGGCGTCGAGGACAGGAGGTTGATAACCTCTGGCATTTCCCTCGTCGAAGCGCACCGAGGTTGTTGGATTAGTTGATGGCTTATCCGACTTCGCTGCGACATTTCTCCAGGTTCTTCTCACGCGTTTCGCGATGATCCCGCGTTGCTATTGCGCGAAGTCACGTGGTATCGACCGTTGGAAGTGTTGTTTTATGAGTACGGAGCCAAAATAAGATTGCTAAATACAAACAAGAAAGAAGGGGTATTTATACAAATCTAGATCATTTTCACAGCCCACACGGCAAGAATAGAAGACACAATACCCAACAGGGCAAAGACGAAGATTAGCTGGTGAAATCCGCTGAACGGCCGTCTTTCCTTCCTGAGCATATCCGTAATCTCCTCCTCGAGCCTGTCACCCATTGCAGTCAGCGAGAACTCCTTCTCCACTCTCGCCTTGCTCGCGGCTGACATGCGGTCCAAGTCCTTCTGGTCCATCTCGTAGAGAACCCGGTCCATGACCGCAGTCCAATCCGCGACGACCGTTGCGTCCCGGAGCCAGCCCGTTTCGCCTTCCACGATAGTTTCCAACGGCCCGCCTGTATTCGATGCGAGAACGGGGATCCCGGCGCGCATGGCTTCGACGGGGACAATACCAAAGTGTTCGTTGATGGGAGTGTAGAGAAGTAGTTTTGCCTGCGACAGGAGCGTATCCCGGAAGGCAGTTGGTACGGAGAGCAAGAAAAGAACGTCGATGGAGTCGGGGATGGACAGGGCGGAGATGACCGTTTTAGAGGTCGCGGTCTGTAATCCCAAACTCGTGGCGAGCTGGTCTAGTTCTCGATGGTATTGGACATTTTCCTGGACCCGATTGTCGTAACCGCCTGTAGAGTATCCTCAGTCAATAGCTGGTCTCTCCATCAGGAACCACTTGGAAGAGGATGACATACCAGCAATCACCAACCGCGTCCCCCTCCACTTCTCCTCCCCAAGACCATGATACGCACGAATCGCCAGCGCCAAATCCTTCTTCCTCTCGAACCGATTCACACTCAACAAGATCTTCTTTCCACCCCACAAAGGACCCTCCTCAGTCCCAACCGGCGCGCCAGCCTTGGTATCGACGCACGGATAGACAATCCGAACATCTCCCAGCTTCTCCTTCCCAAAGACCTCGCTCACAACCCCGCGCGTGAACTTCGAGTTGGCAACGACCTTATCCGACGCGCTCATCGCCCACCCCTCAAACCAATCAAACGGATACCGATAGAGACCCTTCGCAAGCCGCAACAGCTCCCCGCCCTCGTTCCGGCGCGCAAGCAACTGATCAGGGAAATGGCAGTAGAAGAGGATGCGCTGGCGACTGCGACTGCTGCGCGCCGCGCGCGGGCCCAGCGTTTTCAGAAACGGCACGCAAGCGGGGACCTGGTCGACGATGAAGATGTCGTCTGTTTCTTCAGGTGTCGCAATCTCCCTCAACACCGACACGGTCAGATGCAACTGCCGCAGAACGGCCATGAGGACGTGTAGTCGGCCGCCGACATGCGCGGGGAAGAGGGAGTTGCCGCGCACGCGCACGTCGAGCGTGCCGTCGCGCGCTTCCTCGAAGCAGTGCGATTTGTCGCGGTGGGAGGTGTAGATGGTGACTTTGTGGCCGCGGGACTGCAGCGCCAGCGCCACGTCGATGATTAGGCGCTCTGCGCCGCCGATTCCCAGGTCTGGGTGAATGATTGTGACATTGGAGGGTTTGAGGCGGGCCATATTCCTGGGAGAGGAGTTTGCGTCGGTGATTTGCAGCAATTGCTGCGTTGTTGGTGGAGCTGAGCTGAGCTTGAACTTGAGCTTAAGCCACGGGGCACGACGTCATGTGATGACGCATCCTGATCTTTCTCCTCCGTATCTACTCCGTACTCCGCATCTCAAAACAAACATCTCTATTACTTCTATCTCTAGGTATCACAAAACCTCAATCAAATCCTACCAAAACCATCCCTCTTAACGAGAAACATCCCCTCACAAACCACACAAACCCCCTCCCCTTCCCCTCCCCTATCTGCCTCAGCAACAGAAATCTCCCCCATCACATAAATTTTCCTCCCATCCACCCTCCCAACCTCCGCCCTCGCAACAACAACCCCCGGAACCCTCACCGGTTTCTTATAAATCACATTCAAATAAACCGTGACTGCTCCCCGCCCACGATCTAACCCACTCGCCCGGATCAAAGTCCCAGTAACCTGGTCCAGGACTGTAGCCAGGAACCCGCCGTGCGCGATATCGGGCTGCCCTGATACGCCGGCGCCGAGGTGGAGGAGGAGGTAGCCTCGTTCTCGTCCTCCCTCCTGCTCTCGTTCTTGTGGAGTTGCGTTTGCGTTGGTCTCACTTGAACTAACATCCGATGCTCTGGTATGAGGGTGAGCCGGCTGGTAAATGAAGATTGACTTGAGGATTCCGTTGTTGGATCTGAGGGTCGAGTGGAAAAAGGCGTCTGGGTTGCGCGGGTGGATGACCCTTAGGTCAGGTTGAGAGAGGATCCCTGCGCATTTGGGAATGGTGTTGAAGAAGGCGAGTGTTTCTCCTATAGATGTAGGATCTGACCTATAGGTAGCTCTCATGATTTCTCCAGCTGGCTTGTCGAATGGTGTTCAGGATAGTGATTAGCCGAGTAGAGCGATTTGTTGAATCTCTGGAGGCGATGAAGATCTCGTTGAAAGCTTCCCTGAGTCAATTGTAAGAATCTATGGATTCAAGATGCGTAGAATTCCAGGAAGTGATCCCTATCTCTCCGGCCTACCGCGGGTTAGATCGATATGTGTATACCGACGAACCGAGGCACGTCCATGCGGAGGTCTAGGATTCTGGACTATGGGACTATGGGGACTATTTAACAAATCTTGCTTCCTTTCAAACTACTACCTTACATACAACAAGGCAAACTATAAACGACCTCGCAACAGTAGCAGTGTGGAAACAAAGGACTATACAGTGTGGAACAAAGGACTTAGGCAAAAGTGACCACAGGCCGTACGTTCTTTTATGGCATATGAGTGATAACAAAATATACCGCAATAGGGTTTCTGAAGACGTAATCACAGGGAAGGCAGAAATGTACAGTGTCCATCGACATAGGCAAATTGCCCAGAAGAAGCGTATTTAATGACTCGTGGTAAAATCAGGCGGCGGAGGCTGGGGGTTATCTGAAGGGAAAAGAATCAAAATGAAAACAAAAAGGTATCAACAAATCAAGAAGGGGAATCGACGTTGAATTCATAGTACACAGGGGCGGGCTTTGAACATGGGGAAACGTCACGTCCGAGACACTAAAATTGAACGATCAAAAGAATCAAAAGGGTACGAGGGATCAAAAGCAATTGAGCGTGCTCTTCTTCTTCTTCTTGTTCAGCGCATTCATCCGCTCTTCGAGCTGGGCTCGAGCAGCCTCGGCTTCGCGGCGGGCATTGCGTTCTTCCTCGACGGCCTGAAGCGAGAGGCGCTGCGAGTTGCGCTCCTTGCGAAGGGTCGTCAACTCCTCCTCCAGTTGCCATGCCTTCTTCTTCCAGGCCTCGCAGTCGGTCTTGACCTTGTTGCTCTGCGCTTCAAGATCGCCCAGAGCTTCTTCCAGAGTGGCAGTGAGTTGCTTCTCGGCATTGAGATGTTTTTCTATCGTGCGGATACGAGCCTCCTGGTCTTCGACAATCTGGACACTGACCAGTTCCTTGCTGGTGTGCCGAGAGCTTGGAGGAGAGACACTACCATTGGTGGCAGACTGTATAGTCGGCAGAGGCGGGAGAGGAATGGCAGGTGGCGGTGAAGGGAGAGAGGCTGCCGAAGTACTCTTCCGCAGATTCGAGGTCAAAGAGCTGGTGCGGTCATGCGAACCATCCTGGCCGGTACCATTCTTGAGTTGAAGCTAGAGTCCATTAGTCGGGATCCGATTTCAGTATCTAACACAGCAGTGCTTACCTCAAGCTGTTCAATCCGCATGCGATATGTCTCAATTTCTTTCTCATACGTCGCAATCTTGGCCTTGGCGTCTTCCAAAGCCTGATCGCGCTCATGCTGGATGACGGAGAGACGGTTGTGGTGCTGGTCGAAGCTGTTGGTAATCTGCTCCTCGAGTTCCTCCACCAGACGCAGGCTCTTTTCCTTCTCGGCGGTGATCTCCTCGATGAGCGCATCCTTCTTCTTGACTTGCTCTTCCTTACGCTGAAGGGTATCTTCAAGCGTGGCGACGAGGATGGCAAGCTCCTTCACCTTTGCGTCCTTGGCCGCCTCGCGCTGGGTAAGCTCTTCCAACTTGTTGGCATCGCCCTCCTTGGCTTCGAGCTTCTTGCGAAGATCTTCGTTTGCATCTATCAGCTCGGCATACCTGTCGGAAAAGTGTTGCTTTTGCGTGAGGATATCTTGGATCTGGTCTGCGAGGTTCTCCGCGGTGACATCGGAATTGAGCAGTTCTGAAACCATCTTCAGAAGTTTCAACAGCTCATTCCGCGATGTCTCAATTTCAGATCTCAGACTCTTCATCGCCTCCTCGTGTTCGGCATTCTTCTCCGCAATCCGCGAGTCATACTCGGCCTGCGCCGCAGCCTTAGCGCGCTCCTCGAGTTCCGCCAATTCAGTCTTATGTGATTCCTGCAAAGACTCGAGGTCCTTCTTGTGAGATTCAGCGGTCGACTTGTGCATCTCAATCTCTTTCTCGAGTTCAGACACACGAGACTGGAACCCTTCAACCTCACCGCTGGTACTGTCCTTGGTCGCGAGAAGATCCGACAGCTGCTCCTGCGCGGTCTTGTGCGATTGCTCGAGAGCAGCAATCTTCTCAAGATGAGCAGCAGCGGTAGCCTCGTGCTCTTCAATCTTCTGCTTCAAACTCTCTACTAGCTCTTGCTGCTGTGATCTCTCAGCCTCCAGCTCTCTGGCAGCAGCCTCCTTCGCAGCAGAGGTCTCGTCCACGGCGGCACGCTCTGAGCGCATGGCATCTGCAGTTGCCAGGGCCTTGTCCAGGTCAGCCAAGGTGGCACTGAGTTGCTGCTCGGAAGCCTGCAGGGATTTGACGGCGTTCTCATGCTTGCTCTTCCACTCCACCAATTCACCTTGAAGATCATCGATCTTCTTGTCTTGCTCTTCCGCGTGCGCATCCTGAGCCTTGGCAGCTGCCTCCTGAGTCTTCAGAAGATCCTTCAATTCAGCGATCTCGGCGAGCAGCTTCTTTTCGCGTGACTCGTGCGCCTCCCTGAGCTCGTTGATCAGGTTCTCCTGCTGGACTACCTGATCCCGCAACTGGGAGACTAGGCCCATATCCGCAGAAGGTGTACCACCTTGCAAGCTGGACCGCTCACGGGTGAGGCCAGAGATGATCGTCGCCTTCATCTCCATTTCTTTCTTTACGCTCTGGTTTTCCGCCTCCAAGGACTGGATGCGTTCCATGCGCGAGTGCAGCTCATGCATCGCCGCGTCAAGATGAACCTCAAAGTTCTGCATTGTGTCGGGCTGGCCTTCGAATTTTTCGATAGCGATGTTCTTCAGGGCAGCAAGCGAGCGATGCGCACGATCCACCGTCGACATGAGGCTCTGGCTGCTCTTCCTTCGGATGACATTCGTCTTGAAGCCCGGTGTGGTTGGCGGGGAGGCAGATTTGGATTTCTGAAGCTCGGTTTTGAGCGTCTCCACCAGAGCAAGGGCACCTTCATGCTCGGCCTGCAGCTCGGCATACTTTTGGGTCATAAGGTGAACGCCTTCCTGGTGCTCGGAAAGTAGCTGACGCATCTGCTCCATTTCGAGCGAGTTCGTCTCATTGTGGGACGCCTGCGAGTCCACGGGAATTTCTGCGGCGGGCTCAGGATGCCCGTTAGTAGAGGGTTCTTGCGAAGCAGCAGGCTCCCCGACCAAGGATAACTCCGAGGAGAGTGATTGCGAGAACGAGTGTTGTTTTCCACTCTTCGAGTCGGGGGCCTTCGCATCCTCTAAAAAAGACACCGGTCGAGAGGCAGTGACTGGGGAAATGAGCCCCTGGACGGCAGTAGCCGGATGGCGCGCTTCATCCGCAGCGTCCTGTTTCAGTTTGGCTAAAGCCCTGAGCGCCTCTTCATATTTGGCCTCCAACAGTTCATATTGGTTCACCGTGGTCTCGTGCTGCAGGCGCAGGTCCAAGAGCTCTTGGGAGACGGTCTCAAGCTTATCAGCAACGATCTTTGACTCGGTAAGGCTAGGAGACTGGGCTCGAGGCTCCGCAGTGGGATCGGCCTCTAAGCGGCTAGTTACCCTTTCCAAAACCTCCAAATCAGAGCCATCAACGTGGGCAGCTGTCGCCGCTTCGACATTTGATTCCTCTTCAATGTATGGGACGGTCTCCGCAAGATCCTCGTCTGATTCAGGAATCGCCGTTTCGGCGGCTTCGGTCAAAACTTCGAGGGTGGTGGCTCTCTGACGGGAATTGCGGGCGCTCCTCGCAGCAGCAGGAGACTCCATTTCTTCCTGGATGTCATCGTGACTGGCGCCGTTCTGGTGGACATGATCCAACTCATAGAGAAGACTATCGAGTTTGCCGAGACTCCGCTGACGCTCAATCACATGTTCCAAGCGTTCAACCTCTCGCTGCATGAGCTCCATGTCTTGGTCGGCTTCTGCGAGACGCTCTTCCAGTGTTGAAATGTAATCTTCGCATCCCGCTTCGCTTTCGCGCGCACGGCTGAGTTCTTTGCGCAGCTCCGCAATGATAGCCGTGTATTTCTCCTCGCCTGAAGACTGGCCATCGAGTCGAGACTCCAACTCGTGCATATAGGACTCGGTGCTGGCCTCACGGTCTATGAGCTTCTGGATGCGCGCTTGCAGTTGGGCGTTGACAGTCTCGACATAGGCGCATTTGGTCTCGCGTTCCAGGAGAGTGCTCTCCGTCACCGCCAAGGAGGATCGAGTGTTGGATAAGGAGGATTCAAGGCTTTGAATCGTCTTCTCATACTCGAGAACGACCTGTTCGACGGATTGGGCAAAAGAGTGAGACCGCTTCAGTCGCTCAACAGAGCTCTTGCCAACAGCCGAAGCAACGTCATCTGCCTCTCCATTGGGGGAGTGCTCCGAATCGCGAGCGAGTTCGGAAATGAGTTTGGCATGTCGTTGGCTCAGCGCGTTATAACTCTCTTGCACGTCAAGCAGTTGGTTCTGAAGCTCCTTCTCCCTTTCATTTTGACGCTCGGCCCTCTCTTGCGGTCCAGCAGCTCGTCGGTCATTGTCCTCGGCGATACGGATCTGCTGTCTCAGGAAAGCAACTTCGGCCTTGAGCCTCTCAATCACTGCGTGCTTGTCGCTTTCGTCGGCAATATGCTGGATTTGCGGCTTGCTCTGGATAGCCCTCGCCCTCTGTGCGTATTGTACAGTATTCAGAGTTTCGCTGAGGTGGAATTCCGCAGGCGTAACGCAAGCAACCATATATGTGTAAGCATTGCCGCCGAGAGAATCTTGGAGTAGCCGGGTGAGCTTCGAATCGCGGTAGGAGACGTGGGCGCCTGATTGACGAGAAGAAAGCTGAGAGATGACCTTGCCCAGGGCAGCTAGACCAGCATTGATGGAGATACCCTCTCTTGCGCGTTCGCCGGAAGCACCAGTGTTCTTCAGCCGCTCGCTTCCTGCCAGATCGACAAAGTGCAGTTTGCTATCGACCGTGACGGAAGCATCCGAGCCGGAAAGCACCTCGACCGGCATGGACATCCGTTTCTCTTTCGGAGATGTAATTGAGCTCGCTGATTTACGTTGGACAAGATTGAGGCTGAAGACTGCGTGGGATCGGGAGGACTTTGCGTTGATCGCGGTGGAATCAGTCTGGCGAATCGAGGAACCGAAGCTCAGGGCGTTCATCAAATCCTCGAATGAATTGATGTTGACTTGGTGCAGGCCCGTCAGAATGATGCGACCTTTGGCATCCTCGCGGATCGCTACCGAGCCGCGATCACTCATAGGTGTCGATTCAGGGAGGAGAAGATCTCGCAATTGTTCGTTGTAGATCTGCAAGCATGTTAGCGAACAGTTTCGACTGCAAGCTCGAAGTCGGCCCTAAAGGTGTCGTACTTCCACATAGCTGGCTTTCAATTGCCAATTCTTTTCGGCAGTCGCCCGCCCAAAGCTCGAAGTCGAGCTGATCGAGTATCGAGCCGGTGTGCGAAGGCCAGTGGAACTGTTGCGATTGTGTTTAGCCGGGCCGTCGAGTTTCTCAAATAGGAGCTGGGCCGCGCGAGGGATGATTCCTAGAGATAGTATTAGCTGCAGTCCAAATGAGCTAAATGTGCCGCAATCCAGACGAACCCATTGACTGTGTATCGTGTTGCTCGCTGGGGCCCGACGTTCCCATGGTGTACGATTTGCCGGCACCCGACTGACCGTAGGCCAAAATGGAAACATTGTAGCCTTGGAGGAATGAGCTCACGCTGTCGCTAAGATATTCCCAGATGCCATTCTGATCCGTAGTTTCGGGAAACACGCGATCAAACACGAACAACTTCCGGCCTTGTGGGACATCGACCGCAAGACTCGTCGGTGACGTGACATGAACCATAGATCGCTGGAAACGTTGCGGAATCAATTCGTACCCGGGATCGGTAGGTTTCAGCGGGGGTCGTACACGGACCGCTGTAATCACATCAGCTTGCTGGTTCAGATGCATGACTCTCCCTTGTCCCTCGCAAGTTATCCATGGTCGGGACCATATCCCCGGGACACATACCGACTTTGACCGCTGTTTTGCCATCCTCGTCAGAAGCCCGACTTCCTCCACCAACTTTACTGCTCATACTCAGACGGCTGTTACTTCGCGGGGTCCGCATGATGCCACTGAAAGGCCGCTGCGGCGTAGCCGTGGTGGGCGAACCCGGCGGCGAGACCGTCATGTCGTTTTATGGAGGTGGACTGCAATGCGCGATTGACGTCAGAGAAAAGAAGGATCGACTCGAACTCGAACACAATGGATGAGTTGTCAGAAAGCGGACAGAGAGGGTGTCATGAGTCGTAATCGTAGAGTGGTCAAATTATGATTCGTTGCGTGTTGTTTTTGTCGTTTCGGTGCTGAGTTGGCCGAATAGCCTTTCGTCTGAAATGCGCGCGATTTGTCGTCCTGCGGCAATCGGCGAGCTTGACGATGAATTGATAATTCTCTATGTGCAGTGAAAGCGGAAGGAGGGAATTGTGATGAGTTCTGTGAATAACGAGAGATAGATAAGCATTAGTTTTCGGATGGAAACCCCTGAAGGATATGGCCGCCAATAATTCAATTATAGAGTTTGGGGTGTCGGGGAATGCGCACGCCGCAGGAGAGACAAAGAAACATACATACACAAAAGCTTGAGACAGGCCTCAAGGAGTGAGGATATCGCAGAATGAGGATAAGAATGAGCGAATGGGAAAAGGTAACCTCCCTATAGAGCAAGAAAGGAGAGGAAAGGAAGGGAGGGAGTGAAGGAGGGAAAAGAAGAAGCCTCCGTGCCAGGTGCGGGAGTAGCCAACAGTAAGTACCTAGGTAGTCGCTGGCTAGTTGCTAGACTACCTAGCGATAATCCAATGCTATTATTATTATTATGATGAGATGAGGTACACACTGAACTCCTGAAAAGAGCCGGCAGCGGACGGACTAGATCGACTAAACCGCCTCTTTACTATGAGTAGACGGTTAGCCGACCTACTAAGTAGGTGCTAATGCCTATTCGAGTAGTGCAATAATCCTGGATTGAGACTGAGACGAGTCAAGACTTTGAAGCTGGAGGTTTGGAGAGGTTTGCAGCGAACGAACGAGAAAGCGAGCAGTGCGCTGTTTGACGGCGGCGGCCGAACTTTACCAGGGCGGGTTAGAGGGTATCAATGTGACGACTGCCGTCTCAATCTCGCACCAGGGTGAGATTAGCAGCCACATCATTATTAACAAGGGACATCATTCAGGTCAATCTTTATCAATTACATGGAATGTCAAATTGTGTCTATAATTATTAGTGAATTCGTTGGAGAAGAAAAGATATCATGAAGGAGTGGTGGACACTCATCCAAAAATACATCGGTTGTACTCCGTACGGTACCTTAATACCTCATTCGACTCAACTTACGACCACAGGAGGACGCCAGGGGAAAACCAGTGGGGACGGGACCAGATAGGCCTAGACTGGCATAGAGAACGACTGGGGGAAGGATTCGTTTTTTTTTAATATGAACCGTCTCAATGATCAACTGTCTCAGACAAGAGTCTACTACTAAGCCTACTGTGCCCAACTAGACGCCTTGTCCGGTGCGTTCCTGGATCGGTTCGTCGACAGTGCACTACCTTACCTTACCACTGTCAACCACGGCTTCCCACATGGCCGGGAATGAGGTTCCACGGTTGCTACAGTGGAGTAACGGTGGACACTCGATAAATTAATCCAGGAACCAGAAGCTTTGTCTTGGTGGCTCGCTGGGATCGGATATCCGCATGTTTCTTTGCCGGGGTATGCAATAATCGTCGAGTCGTGATAATGCATAAAGCTCGTTTGACATTATGACTGGCTGACCTGGCTCTTGGAATGACCTCGACAAACGTGACAGTACTCGATAGTCGAGGACCGTTTGTTTGATTGTTGATGTGGAGTTTTTGCTTTCGGCTGCTCTGGAAGTCCCGTAATGAAGCATGAATAGAACGCATGGCCTATGTAGATACTCCGTATACATACGAGTATCTAGTATGGTGGCTGTCATCCACGGACCACATGTCATCGCATGTTCCTGAATCTGTCACTGCGAAACGAGAAGCCCAATCAGATGGTGAAACCATCGGTGATTCAAGTGCTGTCAAGCAGGACGATCCTAAAGGCTAGGTCCTTGCCATTTGCCGGGAGACAGGTACCGACGATGAGGTCTGTGTTCACTGCTCAAAAAGTGATATCAATTTATCACATCAACCTTAGTAGAATCCTAAGGCTTTATTCTACCCGACTTTGCAAGCTTCTTCCTCTTTTCGCAGACAACGATCGTAGATGTCGCGTCAACCCTCATCTTGCTCAAAACTTCCAGCACAAAGAAGTCCATATGTCAAGCGATTTGCTGCTCCGTTCATACTCTCTCATTCGTATTGCACGAAACAAGAAAGAAAACTAGCATAAGCACGGAGTACTTCATAAGTATACTCAAATCTATCCAAAATGACAGCTGACCGGAAAGTTGGTTCCCCCCGGCCTGAACTTTACAAAGCACCTTAAATTTCGATCGCCATGTCACATCTGCTAAAACGGGCTGCAAGACAAAAAGGGAAACCAAGTCGACCATCACATACTCACCAAGGAAGCTGAGATCTGCCACGAGGTTGATATCCTAGAGTGATCGAAAGGATTCATTTATTATTATTATGATCAGCCAGACATAAGCTACATAGTCATACTAGTTAAAATCATTGGACACTCTTCTCTTCCAGAGGTGCCTCAGTCTAGACTAGGTCTTCTAATCCATAATAGGAACTCCAATACCGTAGTCCTAAATACATGTCAGAGATTCCTCAAATCCGTCCAGTTTCATCGCCAAAAGTCAAATCCTTGCAATATCCACGGACGAGCTGTTGGACCGTGCTCTTAAGCTTCTCCCATCCAAATTCGGCATCGAATCTGGATAGCTTGTCAAACAGCCAGATAGAATCATAAGCAAGGGGCTCGTTGAGATACGCCACAGCCCTCGGATCCCGGCTCGCAATGCAGATATCTGACAGTGACAGCCCTGCAAGTCGGTAAGATCCCTGTCGGATGCAAGGACTCGATGCTGGTTACATTTATGGATGGATTGTTACACCAGCTGAATTATTGATTGTTTGGTTTGGACCAGGACATTTTCTTCGAGAGGTCCCTGCATTTAATTGACTATCCTACGTATTCCTGAATGATCTAGCAAAATACTGTACTCGCCAAATCATAACGTATCAGAAGCCAAAGTTAGGTATAGACTAACCATACATCTGTCGCAGGAATTAGGTTTCTGCAGTTTGCTTTTCTCCGACGCAAGGGGCTGCGCACAGATGTGATCTGTCTGCTTTATTTGGAAACGATATATGGCTATGATACGAAATTGTTTTCCGAAGCCCTGTCTTCATAGAAGGGTGTCCTATGTCTGCTACTGAAGAATAATGGCTCCAGCCTTATGCTAGGGAGTGCTATATATGCATGTATCCTCAGATGGATATTTAGTATTGTCTTCAAGGGTTCTGCGACACGCCTTGTACAACGCAATGGATCTCGACCTACAACTCATGTCCCTTGGAAATAGACAATGGTCCCTTCTTAACCATGATGGTAAGAACCTCGTAAAGAACATCCGCAGCGGCCCTAAGACACGGTCAACTTACATCTTAAATCAAAAGGCAGGGAACATACATGGTAGAAAGCTCTGCGTTTGTATCATAAGCTGGAGCGACCTCGACGATATCCGCACCGATGAAGTTGAGGCCATCAAGGCCACGGATGATGGTGCGCAGTTCACGGGTCGACCAGCCTCCAGTCTCGGGAGTACCGGTTGCAGGTGCAACTATCCAGGGTCAGAAAAGGGATGCTTGAAATTGTGACAGAAACTCACAAGCAGGGTCCAGAGTATCGATGTCAATGGAAAGGTAGACAGGGTTCTCTGTGCCGACTCGATCTCTGATCTTCTTGATGATTCCTTCGGTTCCTGTTGCATGTCAGCATGTTGCTCAATCGCGCCGGACACTTGTTGAGGGCCTACCGATAGTATCAATTTCACGCGCCTCGACGATCTCGAAGCCGCAGTACCCGTCATTCTCATAATCAGAGGGACCAGAAAGGGTCGTCCTGATGCCGGCATGGATGTTGGTGTCGTTCTTCAGGAGACCTTCCATGGCAGCGTGGTAGAAGTAGGTTCCGTGGTTGATAGCAGCAACCTGACTAGGCGAGCCGCCAAAGACCTTGGGCTTCCATGTGTCCCTGAGACCTGTCAATTCAAATTCTGCCGTTCGTCATGGACATTAACCTACAGATGACTGTCAAAATGGATCACAGTCACGGGCCCGTAGGCCTTGTTGATACTGCGCAGCAACGGCAGTGTGATGGTATGATCACCACCCAGCGTGATAATCCGCGGCAGAGTCTTTCCGGCCCTGGACAATCCTTCAGCATCCGCATTGGTGAAAGGCTTGCGCATCAGCAAGCTGTTATGTCCTTCTTCAATCTGCTGGATGGCCCAAGCATTGTCGTACCTAGACCAGTTAGCAAGGCCAAGACATTGTTGAGAGATAGGAGACATACGACGTCACAGGAATATCACCACAATCCAAAACCTTTAGCTCACTGACGAACGGATTCGCTTCCAGCGGTACATTGTAGCCACCGCTAAACCCCAATTTGCGTGAGCCTTGCCAAACCACCATCGTAAGCATGGGTAGTCATCGTCAACGTACTAGAGATTAAGACGGCGAGAACCTTGTCTGATGCCACTGGGGCCGAACCTTGCACCGGGTCTGTATGAGGTGCCAGTATCAAAGGGAGCGCCTGAACTGTGAGCACTCCACAAACGAGCCAGTGGACAGATTCAAACTCACCGACGAAAGCGATATCATATTTTTCTGCCTCGCTGGACAGACAAGGGAAGTAAGGTAAACGACCGAACGTCGAGATGCCAGAGAAGACGGAGTCTGCCTGAGTACCACCATCACCTGGGATAGTATTGTACCAGAGACTTTGATGCGGGCCAGCGATGGTCTTTTGCCGATGATCGCTGTGCGCAGACGCAATGGCGGAAAGTGCCAAAAGACTCAGTGTGGAAGTGATCATGTTGCAGTACTAGTGTGATTATATTTGAGAACCTTGTGGATGAGAAAGATACCATCGGCTACGAAGGAGGATGGATATATTTATGACCACACAGTCCATGCAACTTTCTGTCCATTCCGTGTATGATCTCGCAGATAGTTGGAGTCCGCGGAGTTGAAGCTCGACAGATGGGTCCTCCGATTTCGCACAGGTTGACGATCTTGCAATTATTGGAGAATATTCTGGTATGGTATCATCTCTCCAGACAACTTCCTATATCGTACAAACAAAGTCAATCGAGCTTCAGATGTCCATCACCAACGGAGTCAGGCTCTAAGAATTTAGAGCCCAGTGGGCCAGACTCGCAACGGCTGACGGCTTGTGTTTCTGCACTTGATCAAATCCAGGTAATAGCAGGAGAACTAATGCTCAACTAGGCAGAATCCCTATCTGCAAAAACGCATTCAGCCAACAGCATATGCCTATGGGGCAGGATGCAGCGTGACATCAGGACCGTTGCAGAAGCTTCACCTGGGTGGATACTGGCAAAAAGCAATATGCAATCTAGGCACGTTGATTTCAAATCCCTTCCCGGAAAGGAAGGCCGGAAGAGCATGAAGACAAGGTTCCAGAAATATCAACGAAGCAAAAGACGAATTGATAGCTGAGTTGTTATCAGTTGGTTGATGCTGCTGGCTTATCTCGACGCTATCTTGACATGCGGGGTGTCACTGATAACACTCAACCCTATTTCAACATGTCCTCTTAGATTCTTCGGTTGGAGAAAGTTAGCTGCATGCTGAATTGATATTCCGAGTGGATACTCTTTGATACCGGAATTCTGGGGAAGCAAGGTTTATCTGCAGCCACTGGTCTATATATGCTTCTCAATCATCCTTCCTTTTTAGACCATGGAAAGTGAAGGGTCTCTTGTCATAGGGTGATATGGACTCTTTTCCAATATGACCAGTAGTACGAGATAGAGTTGGCAGCAGTGTGCTCTTATCGCCTTATTCTTACCAATAAGAGTCTGCCGACAAACATTAGCCTCGATAATGGCAGTGCGTCTTGGACACACTGGTACTTTTGACCTGCCTCGGGTATCTATGTACCTCTCACTGTAGTTAGAGAGAAGCAGAAAGTGCTGCATTCGCCTTGCTTCTAGATAACTATTTACCTTGTTTTGTCTATTCCTCCAGTAGCAACTATCGTATCTACACCCCCGTCTCAAGACGCTCATGCACATCCATCCGCCGAAAGGCCTTTTCCACCTCCGTATCCCAATTGCTAAAAGCCACAATCAACCACTCCAACATCCCCACAATATAAAGCGCAATACACTGTCCCACCCATAGCCCCTTCAGACCCCACCCATGAAACGCAAGCCAGATCCCCAGAGGCAGCGCGCCACAGTAATAGCTGACCAGGTTCACCATGGCACCCACATGCTGCCGGCCCATCCCACGCAGACTCCCTCCACAGCTCCCATTCAACCCATCCGCAATCTGGAACAGAGCAACATACGGCAACACCTCGGCCGTCAGCCGCACGACCCCTTCGTCATCGTTAAAAATCCTCGCAAAGTCGTTCCGCGTGCCCATGAGCACAGCCAACACCACCCCACCAAGAAACATACTCAACCACGCAGCCGTATTCGCAGCACGAGCAGCACCACCCGCATCCCTAGCCCCGAGAAGATTGCCGACACGCGCCGATGCGGCAACGCCCACCCCAAACGGGACGGTATTGAGGACCTGGTCCGCGGTCATGATCACGCTCTGCGCAGCTAGCGGGACGGTCCCCAGACGGCCGGCGGCGAGGGCGACGATCTCAAACGCCCACCACTCCGTGCCGACGTGGATGACGCCCAGGAAGGCGAGACGGGCGAATGTGCCGAGGTTGTTGAGGGCTTCGCGCGACCAGCCGCCCCAGCATTCTGAGCCGGCGATGAACCGTGCGTACAGGACGAGGAGGGCAAAGGATAGCCAATAGGATATGCCTGTTGCTAAGGGGGCGCCTAGCAGGCCCATCTTGAAGGTGTAGCAGAAGAGATAGTTTAAGAAGGCATTGAAGGGGGAGGTTATCAGGAGGACGTAGGTTCCCGGCCGCATGATTCCTATAGGTCTATCATTAGCGGGAACTCGGCGGAAAGAAGGAAGAGGCAATACCTTGAGCCTGGAGATACTTCTTCATGACCTCGAAATATATGTAGCCCAAACCTCCGGGAATCAGACACGTGAGAAACCGTGCACTATCTCTCGAGAGAACCTGATCCTGACCCAAGAAAAGAAACACATGCTCAGACCAAGCCCACAGAATAGCAACGGGGATATAGAAAAGACCAAGCACAAAGAAGCCCCGCTGCAGCAGGATCCCCAGGTAATGCTTGTTCGAGCTCCCTGTGAATGAAGATGAGGCTAGCGTATCCAATGCGGTCGTGCCTCCCAGCGCAATCATCCATGCCGTGATCATCGCGAACATGAGGGAGAAGGCGGAGGTAGCGAGGTGTTCCGGGGATAAACGTCCGACAATTAGCACGGACGAGGTTTGTAGACTGTTTTGGAGTGTATAGGCTAGGATGACGGGAATCGAGTTCTTGAGCAGGTGCCAGAATTCTGCGATGACAAGGCGTCGGTTTGAGACATCGTTCTCGCCAGTATCGGTCGTCTCGCCGTTCAGGTGCCCTGGACTGTCAATGCCTGTTGGCTTTGGCAGGAGATAAGTATACTCGGTTGGGTTGTCTCGCTCTGTGAAGGAGCTACTCCTGCGAATTGGATCAAGATTGTCGGGCATTTTGTCGATGATGACAGAAGAACGTGTATAGGATGCATAGGACAACAACAAGAAGTAACTATATATCACATATACACCATTATGTCTAAGCGAGAAGCTACCCTTTGGGTTGCAGCAAGCGTCTTCCGAATAGATCGAGGGCCCAATCACCGGTGGTATGTGATCTTAACCCAGTGAATCAGCGTTAGATCAGTCTGCTATCGTCAGTCTCGAATTTTATTACAGGGCTTCATGGTCTCGCCATGCTAAGCCCCTACGAAAGCGATCTATGCTAACTCAAGGACCGGTGGAACATGCCAACCGGCTAAGGAGCAATGTCAAGCATTAGGTCGACGACTGCACCGTCTGTGACCCGCAAAGTAGGACGTAAAAGATAGCCCAATGCATGAAAACCAGCCTGTAGCCCACTGCGTCAGATGGTCCGATCACGGAGGCCTTATCTATGCTGGCCGCCATGTAATGCAGATAGTCGTGGAGGCAACAATTCAAGTAGATTACAGTCTGCCTCTCCAAATATTGACCCAAATGGGAAGGTGATCAGTAACTCTATTCAAGAGTAACGAAGAAAAGAGAAAAACCAAGCAAGTGGTCAAATGGCCTCGGCGAAACAAAGTCCTCGTCAGTATGTCGGCCCTGCGATTGATAACGATCCCTGACGGTGCTCAGGGTCTGGACTGTCGAAGCATACTATGTTCGAATAGAAAGCAATCTTATGGACAAGGAAAGCAGGTATTAGCTGGTTGATTGGAGAAACTTATGATTTTGGCGTATATGTTTATAATCACGGATTCTGACTGTCGATGATGCGGTCGAATACAGCATCATTTTCCGGTTGGAAAAGAAGGGATGACAAGTGATTACAATCGAACCAGAAATTTTCGTTAACGAGGAGATTGTCAGGAATTCATTGTAGAACAACTCGAACTTGGCGCACTGGTTCAAGACCAGAAGAGCCAACATCAAGGGCTCATCAATTCATGACAGCATCTAATTTCTGGTAAAACAAATGCAATGACTGTCATCAAGCAATCATCTATTATCAGTTATCTGCAACAGATAACTGGCAAGGACAAGACGCCACTCATCCGGGGTTGTTGCAGGCAGTGGTCGGTCGTCTACTAAAGTTCATCGACATATCAGAAACGCAAAGCATGTTGCGCCACTATAGCCTGATAACCATTTGGAAAAGATGAATATCCAACGAGCCCTGACATGCTTATCACTTGCACAGTCTTAGTCAAGCTTTAGACTTACCAGTTGATCGCCGGAAAGTGTCCCAAAGAAAACAAGCACAGATAAGGAAGTTCTCTTTGATATCAAGTCAGCTTTTGATTTGACGATGGCTTGGACGAACTATAACCCCGTAAGGTGAGATACTACGGCCTTTATGGCTCGTATTCCATGGTGTGATTGTATATAGCCCTTTTATACCTTGGAATGCCGAGTACTGGCATGGAGAATTACATACCTACAGATCCATCAACAGGACACTCATTCTGAGATCGAATGCTCCCAATAGACGATGGAAAAAGAACAGACCAAAGTCGATCTAGGGGATTCGCAGAGAATCACTGCAATTGACGAGAAACAGTCTGTTCCAATCGAGCTGGGAGTCATCGGCGAGACCACCCTAGAGCAAAATGGAATCAAGATACATCCTCAGCCGACTTCAGATCCCTTGGATCCGCTGAACTGGTCAAGGCTTGAGAAGCATACTATCCTGGGAATCGTCATGTTCAAGTCAGTCCTCGCATAGCTCAACATATAGCCAGCCATTGCTAAAATTTGATTGAAGATATTTCCTCTTCACTTATATCACAACGACCACAGTTCC